GGCCGGCCGCTGAGCGCGGCCAGGAGGCGGGAGGGCCGGCCCGGCCTCGGAACGAGCGCCAGCCGCTGCCCGGCGCCCTCCTTCCAAGGCTCCCCGCGCTCTGCTGCCGCTGCAGCCGCCCGGCCTGAGCATGGAGACGGCAGAGAAGGAGTGCGGCGCCCTGGGCGGGCTCTTCCAGGCCATCGTCAACGACATGAAGGTAACGGGGCGCGGCGGAGCCGTCCGGGGGCGTCGTCTGGGCCGCACGGGCGGCCGCGCGGTTGCGGGTGCGTGTTCTCCCAGGGGGCGCGTGGCGGCGGGCAGCCGGACTCCGTGTGTCCATGCGTCGCAGTATCTGTGTGTCCTTGGCTGCATGTCCTGCCTGCCTCTGCTGAGCGCCCGGGTCTCCGGGTGGCCATCTGGGGGATGTGGGTGCCTGTGAGTCGGGGTGACGGTGCGGTGCCGTCTGTGCCCGGAGTCGCCCGGGTCGCAGCGCCCCCGTGGGCTTCCGAGTCGACCCTCCGCTCAAGCGGGCTGCCCGCACCTCAGCCCCCAAATCATGAATGGGGTTGGGCTCCGGGACGATTCTAAGGCCCTTTAACGGGTCCGGGGTCTCGCGGTCCTCCGCCTCCTCCCACCCCCACCCTCCTCCCCGCGCCTCCCGCGGGCCCCGGAGCCCAGACAATGCTGTCACCGCCAAAGCAGGAAAAATAATAAAGCGAAGAACCGTTAACTCTTTCCCTGCCAGCCTTGGCCTCTTTGCCCGACCCGGCCCCTCCCCCACGAGCCCCAGGGAGCCCCGGGCCTCCAAGGTCTCCAGGCCGAGTGTACCTCCATCCCAAGGATAGGCCTCTATCCTCACCTTGGGAGTGGCGGGGAGAAGGTTGGGGTTGGCAGGCAACCCCCAGGGAGCACCTTCCCTACTCCATTCCCTCCCCCTCCCTCCCCCCAGGCTCTCAGCTCCAACCCACCATCCCCACTCATTGCCCAAGGTCAGGCTGGAGCAGGCCACCACATCTTGGCTCTCCACTGGCTCACCAGGTGGGGAAACTGAGGCCTGGGACTGGCTCAAGGTCGTTGAAAAGACTGTTGGATCCTGTCTCTGATCTCAGCCTCTCATTGTTCATCTAGGGGGCAGGGAGGAACCTCTCCGGGCAATGAGGGCAGAGTCTGGCAGGGCTGTCAGGCTGACTAGGCAGAGAGGAGGCTCCAGTGATGGGGTGTGGGCCAGGAACCACCATTCCTACCTTCTCCTGAGAAGCCCCCACCCCGTTCCTTGGCCTAGGATGAAGCGGCAGGATTGGTGAGGGCAGGCAAAGCAGGAGAAAATACTGGGTTCCCACAGGAACTCCTTAGGGCCCCAACCCCCACAGCCTATCACACGCTCACCAAGTACACAACACAATGTCGCAAGCCCAGGAGGAAACACCATGCACCACAGTGAAACCGGGGCCAGGCCCTGAGGGGATGGTGCATGCAGGCCAGAGACGGGGGCTCCCAGGCCTGTCAGGTGCAGCTGCCAGATCCCAGCCCCCTGGGAAGGGGCCTGAAACTGCTCTGGCCTGGGACTCTACTGGATTAGCAGCATGCGGGCGCCCCCCCTGGCTTGGGAACTCCTTCCCTTGCAGCTCCACCTCCGGGCCATTTCTACAGGCCTTCAGAAGTCCTGGTCTCTTCTGTCCTCAGCAGAACCCTTCTGCCCTGTGGTCATCACAGCCCTGACACCAGGATCCGTTCTGGGACCAGGCAGCCCAGACCACCCTCCCCTGACCACTCCTGGGGACTTGCTGGGGTGGGACCTCCCCCTGCCGCCTCCCAGCCCCACCCCACCCCCCACCCCCCACCGCAGCCCCACAGCAAACTGCAAAGAGCAAGCAGCCTTTACCAGAGGAGGGGCAGGGCTGTGGCCATCCCTCTCTAGTCAATTTGCAAGGAATTCAGGGATGAGACCCAAGGAAATGGGCCCGGATCATAATAAGAGATTCAGGTTAGACTTTGGGCAGGATTTTCGGACACATGGAGGCAAAATGGGAAAGATCTCACCTGGGTGATGCCAGGCACCAATGTCTCCCTGCCTGTGACACATGCATGTGGGGCAGAGAAGGGGCCGGGCCACTAGAGACCCATTACTTGCATTTTGAGGGTAGCTTCTGGCCGATTGCCTCGGTGGCCTGAGCTACAGAAGCAAGTGCGGCTTCTATGGAGAGGGAATGTGGCTGCTGGCAGGGTTGGAGAGACAGAGCTCTCCCCTGAGGCCATTCCATATCAAGTCCACAGGCCCTACAACAGACCTCCCTGGCCTCTAGGAGGCCTGGACCCTCACTGAGGGGAGGCAGAGTCAGGGGCAGGTGAGGTGGGGAGGGCCTCCCTGACTACACCTGGGAGAAGGCACCAGCTCAGGGAAGAGGGCCCTCTATGCCCCATTCAACTCAGGACAGATGCCCCGTAGGTGCCAGGCTGCCACTGAAGCCCAGAGAGGGGCAGGGATTTGCCAAGGTGACAGGACTGGACACAGCCCAGGCAGCACCTTCAGCACAGCAAATGGGGCCTCCACCCCGCACCAGGGTCATCCAAAAAATAGGGTCATTGTCTGTCTACTTCCGGAGTGGGAAGTCCTGGCTGGGTGGGAGGGGCCTTTTGGCAGAGGCAGGAGTTGCGTGTCTTCTGTTTCTAACCAGTGTTAACTGAGCACCTACTAGGTGCTGGCACTGTGCTAAGTGCTTTCCATGCAGCACCTCCTGAGTTTCCACACTGACCCCATGATGGAGGTGCTGCTTCTATCCTGATTTCACAGGTAAGGAAACTGAGGCTCAGAGAGGGAGCCCTTGCCTAGGGTCACCCAGAAAGCCCCCTGTATCTGGGATTGGAGTCTGGGCTGCTTGCCTGCACTGCCCGTGTCTGAACCACCACCACCACCAGAGTCTCTGTACACCTCAGCAGCCTCCTCGTGGTGCTCATTCCCATCTCTTGGGCACCTCTAATGACAAGCAGCCCACTGGGGCAGAACCAGGCATCCTCCCATCCCTGCAGTCGCTGCCACCTCCCCTCCTTGATGCCCAGGTGCCCGTCTCCCTGCACATAGTGACCAGTCACACATGGGGCGAGATCTTGACCTGCCACTCTGTGGCCTTGGGCAAGTCAGTTAACCTCTGTGGGCCTCAGTTTCATGTGTAAAACAGAAGCAAAACAATATTCCTGTCACAGGGCTGTTACTAGGATTCGATGGGATCTCACGTTGGAACACTAGTGCCTGGCCCATGGGATGCACTTGACCAACAGCATCCACTACTGTTACCAGTGATAATAAACCAGCTGTAGAGGCTGACACGTAGGGTGAAAGCCCAGGTGAAGGCTGAAGATGGCTTTCCCTGGGTCATGGCTACTCCCTCAGCCTCGTTGTCAGTGCAACGGGCTGCTGCTTTCAGAAGCTGGAAGCTCATGGCCTGACTCCCTGGGGTCCAGTGGGACGGAATGGGGAACCCCAGGTCCTGAGACTGAGATACCTGGTCCATCTTCGAGGGGGAAGCAGGCCTGGCCTCCCCCATGCCGTATCTCATCGCCCTTCCCACTTGGAGAGCTGAAGTGTGAAGGTCTGGGATGGTGTGATCCCGCTGGCCATGGGGAGGCTAAGGGAATGGGCTCTCAGCCCAGGGCCATAATGGGGTTGGGACCTGGCTCTCTCCAACTTCTCCTAACTCTGTCCCTTGCTCCCTGGGACTGCCCAGTGGCTGCAGAGAGGGCTTAGGAGGACTCTTGCGGGGGAGGACAGCTGGCTGTCACCCTCGCCCCCTCAGTAACTTTTTTACTCCCTGGAGGTCTTAGCAAGGCTTCGGGGCTGGGGGAGTCAAGGCGGTGGGAGTGAGTCTCCTTTAGAAGGCCCCTGGGGACATCAGGACTGCTCAGGACGACCTCCCAGACCTTTTACGGCCTCCCAGACCTTTTACGGCCGGAGACAGCCCTCCCACAGCCTCCCCCTCCTGCTCCAGCCTGTGTGAACTTCTCAAATATTTGCTTTCCCTGGGCACTGGTTTGGCCGCTCTGGGAGGAGAGGGCATTTCTGAGGTTCCCTAAGGCTGCCCTGTCCCCTTTCCACGCCGCCCCCGTTGGAGCTGACCTGGCCCCTGCAGCCTCGCAGTAGGGGAGGCCCGACTGAACACCACCCAGTGCTCCTGCCGGCAGAGCCTTCAGAGGCTGGGCTCCCTGCCTTCCCCTTTCCTTGGGAAAAGCCCCACACCCAAGCCCCATCCTGCATGGAAGGTTGGACACCCTTTGGAGCTGGAGCTTTGCTGGCTCAGGGCCTCCCTTCAAGGAGCGAGGCCTCCTGCCTCCACAGGGCCCTTGGGCCAGGGCTGAGATTTCTCCAGGACCCGGCAGTTGAGGGGCGGGTGCGTTAGCCAGAAAAGCCCCTTGATCAGACTAGACAAGTTGGTCACCAGGAGCCCAATCTCCCTACTGGGAAACCCCCTCCCAACTCGGAGCCTCAGGCCAGGCTGGGATAAAGGCCACACTGTTCCCCCAGGAGGGGAGGAGGGCCAGGGCTGGAGAAAGGTGGCTCTGTTGGCCACACAAGGCCCCATTCAGCCCGTGGCCTGGCTCTCCTGGGCAGGCTGGCTAGGCCCGCAGCAGCCTCAGCCTCCTCGGGCCTGTGATGGCTGGCCAGGCCAGGCAGCAGCTTCCAGGGCACAGAGTGGGGGCCCCCAATTTAGGCCTGGTGCATCCTGAGCCATGCCAGCCCTCCACTGCCTCTACCCCCCATGCCAGGTGGGCATGTTGGTGCTCTCCAGCCTGAGCGTGTGTCCAGGGGGACAAGGTGCCTCTCAAGGGGCTTGGCCCAGATCCTCTGCCAGGTCCCTGGGGAGCCTGAGGAAACAGGACCTGCCATGCACTGTTTTCCATCTCCCCTGAAGGACCACTAGGATGGACTTCCTGACTGTCAGGTGGGAGGGATGAGGCAAAGTCCCTGTTCCTGGCCCAGGCTTCCTCCTGCTCACCCCTCTCCGAGGGGATAGGGCCACTCTGTCAGAAGCTGCCCAGAGTTGGGCCAGAAGCGTGTGGGGAGCCTGCCTGAGTGGAGCCCCACCCCCTACGAGGTCTCACTGCCTCATCCATCTCCCCTGGGCAGAGCTCCTACCCCATCTGGGAGGACTTCAACTCCAAGGCCACGAAGCTGCATTCCCAGCTAAGGTGAGACCGCTAAGGGTGCCTCAGCTGGGGAGGGGAGGGCAGAGGAAGAGAGGACCCCACAGCCACAGAGGGCCCCATTGTCATCTCCCCAGGACCACCGTGCTGGCTGCTGTGGCCTTCCTGGATGCCTTCCAGAAAGTGGCTGACATGGCCACCAACACCAGAGGTGGGGAGGGGGCATGGCTGGAGGGTGGGCTTGGATGCTGGCAAGGCTGAGTGAGGTATGGGCCAGGGAGAGGACACCAGGTACAGAGCCGGGACCTTGGGTTCTGTTCCCTAATGAAACAAGTTGGTTGTGAAGAAGTGAGCCCCTCATCACTAGAGGCATGCAAGCAGGAGTAGGTGAGCTGGGACAGGGGATTTGCAGGAGGATGCCATTCTTGCTATGGGAGACTCACTTGATCCTCTCAGCCACAGTTGTTTACCCACCTGTACAGTGAGTCTGATTATGGCTTCCACCCACCCACCCTCACCCATCCGCCCTTCTGGAGAACACAGGGCACAAGGGAACCTTCCTGTTGGGCTTGGGGTCACCTCTGCCTTCTGGTCCGAGTAGCGGGGCAGTGGGCGGGTTTGGAATCACACCTGCACCTAGGCACACCTGGAGGGGAGTCTCCGGCAGGCTGGGGTGGGGGGGGGTGGTTTGCTGGCTCTGCCTTGGACAGTCTGGCACCGGCCTCTACCAGCTTGGGATGGGGGGAAGCACCAGGACACCCGCAGCCACGGGAGGTTGGCATGGCTGGTGCTGCACGGAGAAGGAGCTCTGTAAATACTGAGGAATGATAAGCCCCCGCAGGGCTGGTCGGGAGCAGCCCTGCCGCGCGCGGGATTGCGGAACGATGGGGGCGGGGGAGGGGGCAGCGAGGCTGGAAGCGCGGGCTGCTGGAGAGGCTCTCCTGGGCCATCGCGCCCCCATGTGGCCCGAGGCCAGGACTGCAGAGGCCTCTGGCGCGCCCCTTACCACGCTGCGTGCTTGCCTCGCCAGGGGCCACGCGGGACATCGGCTCGGCGCTCACGCGCATGTGCATGCGCCACCGCAGCATCGAGACCAAGCTGCGGCAGTTCACCAAGTGAGTGGGCACCGAGGGCGGGCTGGCGGGGGATGTTCGCAGGGGAGCCAGCCCTGGCTGCCTTGACCACACGCCCCCTGCCCACTCGCAGTGCGCTGCTGGAAAGCCTCATCAACCCGCTGCAGGAGCGCATCGAGGACTGGAAGAAGTCGGCCAACCAACTGGACAAGGACCACGCGAAAGGTGAGGGACGGGGCTTCAGCTGCCCAGCCTACCCCGACTCGGCAGGGTCGGACCCCCGTAATAGCAATCTGCTGTTAACTTTCTGCACAGAGTACAAACGAGCCCGGCATGAAATCAAGAAGAAATCGTCTGACACGCTGAAGCTGCAGAAAAAAGCACGCAAAGGTAGAGGCCCTGAAAGGCCCGTCGAGGCGCAGCTCCAGGGGGCCTGGCAGGAGCCCCCAGGGCCCCTCTCCGTGGCCCCCATGCCCTTGGGGCACACCAGGGCATTCTCCTGGCCAGAGGGGTCCTGTCCCCACACAACCCTTCCAACTGTTGGGTGGGACAGAGGGAGCTACCCTGAACCCCAGACAAGGCCCAGGGCCTCCAGTCCCAGGGAGACAGAGGAGGCCAGGCCTGGCCCCTGCCCCAGGAGTGGCTCTGTCCATCCGGCTGTCTTTCACACATTCTTTCTCTCTGTCTTTCCTTCTCTCCTCCCACATCCTTCCTGTAGAGCTACTTGGTAAGTCAAATGTCCGTCCCTCCAGCTGTTCCTCCTGTCCTTGTCGCATTTCTGTCTCCCCCAGCTCAGGGCCGTTGGAAGGAGTCTCTCCAGGCCAAGGAGTGAGGAAGGTGGTTGGTCTGCAAGGGCAGGGGGCTAGGGTACAGGTCTGGGGGAGGCCTGGCTAGGGTACACCCTGGGGCCACCACTGGGTCAGTCTGCCAGGTCACGGGGGGGTTGGCTAGGGTGGGGGGGGGTTGCAGGCCCTGGCTGCCCCCACTCCACCAGGCCACCCACATTCCCTACAGGTCACCTTACCCATCTCCTCATTCTGCTCTCACCTCTCTCTCTCTCTGTCTCGCTGCTGCAGCTTTGTGCCGTTGTCCTTGTGCATTGCTTCTTAAGCTAAGTGGTGGCCACGTTGAGACCTCCCCCCACTTCCCTGTCCCCTAGAACCTAGCCGCTAGCTCCCCTGACCCCTGGACAACGACAGCTGAGCCCCCACATTCCACTCTGGCCCTGCTTCCACCCACCTTGTGAGGCAAGGGCACCGTCCCATGGGCAGTGAGGGTACCCACAGGGGTGGAAGTAGCTATTGTGGATTCCGCAGGGCTGGCCATGCTCCTAGGCTCCCCTGAGCACAGCTGATCCAGGCGTGGCCCTGGAGCTGCCCAGGGCTCAGCTCTGCTCCCCACCCACTCAGATTCTGAGTGGCTTCACAGCTTTGGTGTCTTTCCTACGTGTACGTGTGTCTATTTGTCCTCTTTGCCTCCTCTGATGGGACCAGCCCCTCCACAGGCCCCCAGTGTCCCAACTGTTCTTCTCAGTCCCCTGATCCCCATGCAGTGCCCAGCACCACAGCCAGGGACGCCACCACAGGGGCCTGAGCCATCAGTGCCTCAAGCCGGGCCAGCGTCCCCAGCGCGGCCTCTCCTCCCAACCCTCCAGGGAAAGGAGACCTGCAGCCCCAGCTGGACAGCGCCCTGCAGGACGTCAATGACATGTACCTGTTGCTGGAGGAGACAGAGAAGCAGGCGGTGCGCCGAGCCCTGATTGAGGAGCGCGGCCGCTTCTGCACCTTCATCACCTTCTTGCAGCCGGTGGTGGTGGGTGCCCGGGGTGGGCGGGGCCTCTGAGCACCACTACATTTGTGTCGGTTAAGAGGTCCCTTGCGAGAGAGTCCCAAGAATTCGGGAGCAGGAACTGCTGAGCATCAGTTCTTGCTGACCTGGAGGCCCAAGCAGTTTTGGCTGAGGCCCAGGGTTGACCCTTGGACCTCCAAGAAAGGCTGCTTCTCAATGATCCCTGGTTGGGTGCCACGTGCTCCTGGCCCAAAGGCAGGTTTCGTAGGTTGTGCACTGATTCGGTAAGGGCCCTGCCTCCATTAACCCCAAGCACATGGGTCAGTGGGGAGGGTGGTTGAGGAGGGGCCTGGTGAGGCCTGTTCCTGCAGGGTGGGTGGCCAGTGGGCAGCAGTGTTGGTGGGCTGACTTGCTCCCTCCTCAGAACGGCGAGCTGACCATGCTGGGGGAGATCACCCACCTGCAGGGCATCATCGACGACTTGGTGGTACTGACTGCAGAGCCCCACAAGCTGCCCCCCGCCAGCGAGCAGGTGCGGCCAGCCCTGGGCTGAGGGACAGGGGAGGAGAGAGGAGAGCCTGCCCTTGGTTGGGGACAAGAGGAGAGGAGAAAAGGGGACAGCATTTGGGGGCAGAGGCTCAGATATGTCCTGATACCAACTGTGGGCCAGCCAGGAGCATCTGCTCAGGTGAGGGGTGGTATGGCCAGGCTGATGGGGTCTCAGACTGAGGGCAGATGGGGAAAGTCCTGGATCTGTCCCATAGGCCACACCTGGGCAAACCCCCTACAACACCTGACCCCCATCACCTCCTCTAGCGCCAGGCCAAAACGGGGACATCTGCCACCTGTGCTGACCTTGCCCACCTCATCTCACCACACTGGGAGCAGTTCATGTGCCACTGCACTCATTAGGCGCTTACTGCATGCCCACACCATATTCCCATATCAGCTCACTGAATCAGCCCAACAGTCTCTAAGACAGGAATGATGGGCTCCATTTCACAAGAGAAAATTGAGGCCCAGAGAGGTTAAGCAACATTGCCTGAGGTGACACAGCAGAGCCCACATTTGAACCCCATGGTGTCATGGTCAATCTTGTCTGTCTCCTCTGCTAGCCTGGCCCCAGCTGGGGTCAGTGTCCCTTAAAATCAAAGAGGGCTGAATTTCCCCAGGGGACCCTCCTAGCCCTGCTTCCCCCTCCCCGCAAGGAGGAGCTTGCACTAGGACAAGACTTGGGAGCTCTCAGACTCACCAGGCCCACTTCCTGGAGCCTGTTCACGATTGGGAAGAGAGTGGGGCCTCTGGCTTTACCCATCCTCTGGGGGCCCCAAGAAAGTGATAAGGCTCTCTGTAGGACAGGGGCCACCTCCATGACTCCCATCCGTGTCCCCATCCAGGTGATCAAAGACCTGAAGGGCTCAGACTACAGCTGGTCCTACCAGACACCACCCTCGTCGCCCAGCAGCTCCAGCTCCCGCAAGTCCAGCATGTGCAGGTCAGTGGGGGGGGGGGCAGTTATCCCAGGAAGGGATGGCAGAATCTCCCACCTATGCTGCATCAATAATTGCTTTGGGGCCCAGAATTCACACAACTTCTACATCATCCAAGGAACATCATTTCACAGAAAGGGAAACTGAGGCATAGAGTCACAGCATTCAGCCATGGGCTCTGCCAGGCCCTGCAGTCCTGGGGAATAGTAAGAATCTAAGGCTGGGGAGGGGCGTGGGAGCTTCTGGGAAGGTGTACTAAGGCCACATGGTAAGGGGCAGTCCTGCCTGACTGGTCCCCGAGAGCAGGTGCCCAGGCGGCTGGCACAGGCTCACATCCTGGCCCAGGCTGGCCCCCAAGGCCTCAGAGCCAAGGACAGGCCAAGGAGCTCTCTCAGTCACAAAGCAGGCTCAGGATTGGGGGCCCGTTCCTCTGGCTGGCACTGAGGACCAATTTGGAGGAGACATTGAAGATGCAATGTACCTTGGGTGGGCAGGACAGTGAGCACAGAGCAAGTTCTGCGTCAGGGAAGCCTCTGCTCTGTGCCAGGTACCCCTTTCCCCAGAACCACCTCAGGCCGGGCACCCAGGGCATGGGAGTAAGCCAGGCACAGTGACTGGCTCCTGCAGGGAGCAAAGAGGCCAAATCTGCTGGAAGCTCTTCAGACCCTGGGCAGTGGCCGTCACAGGAAGGAGGGTTGATTGCAGGGGCAGACCAAGGGCAGGAGCTGGGGGCTTCCGGGTGACACTTAGGAGGAGGGCAACCTTTACTGCCAGAAACACCGCCCAAGAATGAAACAGCTTCACAGAGGGTGTCAGCTACCCAAGGCTGTACACGCCCGCAGGGAGTGGAGAGGCAAGGGTGATGGGGGGCCTAGGACCCACCAAAGGGCAGCTCCCATGCCTAGGACAGACTATGCCACATGCTAGACACCCCATTAGAGTGTGATAACAAACACCAGACTTGGAAAAGGCAGTTTAGAGCTTGCTTGTGTCTGGTTCCAGCCCAACTGGGAAACTGTTTGGCTCTTGGTGACTCAGTTTCCCCATTATTAACCTAAGGATTACTGCTCTGTGGCAGAGTAGGAGGCAGAGAGATGGCCTTGCCCTGGGCTTGCCTTGACAGTAGCTACCCTGGGCACTGGGGCATGCAGGGCAGGGGCTGGGCCGGCCACCTGGTGCTCTGTCCCCTGCCCCAACATACCATCCCAGAACCCAGCTCCTCTGCGGCACCTGGGTTTCAGAACTTCTAGTCTGACATTGTCTTTTTCTTCCTTTGCCCCTCACCTCTCTTCTCCACCCTCGTCTGTCACCACCCTCCCCTCCACACACACCCTGTGTCTCTCTCTCTGGCTACTGTGCCCCCTCTTCACTCCCCCAGTGCCCCCAGCAGCGGTAGCAGCGCCAAGGGTGGCGGAGCCCCGTGGCCTGGGGGCGCCCAAACATACTCACCCAGTTCCACCTGTCGCTACCGCAGCCTGGCACAGCCAGCCGCCACCACCCGCCTCTCCAGTGTCTCCTCCCATGACTCTGGCTTCGTCTCCCAGGACGCCACCTATTCCAAGCCTCCTTCACCCATGCCTTCAGACATCACCAGCCAGGTGAGGGGCATTGGAGGATCACCCAGGTGGGGTGCAGTGGCCCCATCACAGCTTCCAGCTATGCAGGTGTGGGGCTACCTGCAGCTTTTGAGACTAGGGATCCCCAGGATCACCACAGAAGGGACCAACCTGAGCTCACTACCTAGGAGGGCTTGGGGAGCTCTTGGAGCAGCTCTGTGCAGCGGGGATGAGGCAGCGTCAGCATGGGGGCTTTTGTCACCTCACTTCCTCCCCATTGCTTATTCCTTGTCTGTCCCCTCTTCCAGCCATAGGAATCAGAAGAGGGCAGCTTGCCAGCTCTGACCCTTGTGACCCCCTGCTTAGGCATACAGTGATTGCGTGGCTGGCCCCATGAGGCGTGGGGCACGGGGGCAGGGGCCCCGGGATCTGCAGACATCCTCTCCCTATACTCAGGCCAGCTCTCTCTGAACCCAGAGGCTGACCCAGAATCTTCCCAGTGATACCCCCAACTCCTGACACCTGGGCATGTAGCCCTCCCTCCCTCCCTTTGTCCTCTGCTGTGGTCCCTCTGTTTGTCCATCTCACTGAGGCTGCAGACAGCTGGCTGGGAGGCTCAGGGCAGACTTCCTCCCTATCAGCTTGCTTCCCCAACCCCTTTCTACTCTGTGCCAGGTTTCTACCTGCCTTCACAGTGAGGTTTCTCCATGAAGGAGAACATACGACATGTCCACAGTGAACTGGGAGGCTACTGTCCATAGAATGGGCAAACCCACCTACACACTGGGGGCAAGTACCGGGCACCCTGTGAACATGTATTAGGTGATAATGGAGGGCTGTTTGGTTGTCAGGTCATTGAGTTGTGATTTTTAAATGTGTGTGTGAGTTGGGGCAGGTTCACATGTATTTGTATTCACAGAGGTATGTGCTTGCAGTAGGAATCCTATGTAGGTCAGGGTAGCCAACCCATCCATACATACCCCCACCTCAGCCAATGATCTCACCTTATAGAAGACAGAAGTCGTCAGACAAAAACTCCTTCATCTTCCCATGACCAAATCCATAACCCTACCAGTATTTGCATTCACTCTTCTGTCCCTCCCCATCAATGGCTCATGCCTCCATTTGTGCTCAGCATTCTATATGCTCCACTCTCTTGCCCAGTGATTTCCCCATTGCATTGCCAGTCTCCTTCTGTTCTGGGTTAATATCAGTACACAGATATGCTCTAGAATCATCCTTATTGCCCCCTCCCTTGGCCCCACATCCTCCTCCAACAACATGGTCTCTTTCACAGCAAAATTTCTTGAAAGTGTTATCTGCACTGATCATCTCTACTTCATTTCCCATTCACTCCTGTCTACTTGACCTGTCAATAATTGAGAAATGGTGGACTTGTCAGTTTCTCCCCATATATAGTTCTATCAATGTTTGCTTTATATGTTTTGAAACTGTTTTATTAGGTGCATAAGAGTTTAGAAATGTTAACTCTTCATAGTGAATTGATTCTTTTATCATGATGTAGTTGACTCTTTCTGTTCCTTATAATGCTTTCTGTCTTAAAGTCTATTTGTTTGATATTACAACTATCTCAGCTTTATTCTATTCAATATTTATATTATCATTTTCCATCTCTTTACTTTTAAAGTCCCATGCCCTTATGTTTGAGATGAGTCTCTTACAAACAACATATGCTTAGATTTTCTTTCTTTATCCAATCTGACGATCTCTATCTTTTAATTGGTATTTCTTGGTCCATTTACATTTATTATGAGTTACTAACATACTTGGACTTCTGTCTTACCTTTTTCTATTTGTTGTGCTTTTTCTGTGCTTTTTCCTCTTTCCTTGCCTTTTGTTTGTTTTTCTTTTTCTAATTTTTTCCCCTCTTTTGGACTGTAAGAGCCCTGGTAGAGCAGTGGTTAAGAGCTTGGCTGCTAACCAAAAGGTTGGCAGTTTGAATCCACCAGCCGCTCCTTAGAAATCCTATGGGGCAATTCTACTCTGTCCTATAGGGTCACTATGAGTCAGAATCAACCCAACAGCAGCGGGTTTGGCTTGGGTCGGATTGTAAGTTATAGTGTTTCTATTCTCTTAGGGGTTGTCTTGAAATTTTATCATACATACTTAGTACAGTCATACTGCCACCTCCTGAATAATTCAAGGACCTTAATATATTTTAACTGCTGTCACCCACTCCCTCCCAACTTACAAGCTATTATATTTTAGTTCCCTCCTTTTTTATAATATCTACAAATTAGACTTGTTTCTTCTTATTATCATGATTATTATTATTTTATAAATACAGTACTTATTTATACATTTCTTTGGTTATCATTTTTTCTTGCATCTTAAACCTTTCTTCCAAGGTCATTTTCTTTCTTTCTAAAGTAAGTACATCCTTTAGACGTTTCTTTAGAAAAGGTTTGTAGTAAATTCTCAGTTTTTGTTTATCCGTAAACGTGCTTCATTTCGTCCTTTTTCTGGAAAGTCAGTTTTGCTAGGGACACAATTCTGGAGTGATAAGTATTTTCTCTTTATATTTTGGAGATATTTTCCCACTGTATTCTGGCTTTCATTGTTTTGCCTTTTTTTGTCCTTTATGTACATGGAATCACACAGTGTGTATCCTATATGTCTGGCTTCTCTTGCTCAACATTACGTTTGTGAGACTCATCTATGTTTTGTGTGTGGTTGTATAGCATTCTCATTGCCGAATAGCATTCCATTGTGTGAATATGCCATAATTTATTTAACACATCTATATTTGATGGACATTTGGATAGTTTCCAGTTTGGGGCTATGAAAATTCTAGTTTGCATGTCTGCTGGGTACGTACCTAGGAGTGGAATTGCTGAGTCACAGGATGTACATATATTCAGGTTTAGCAGTTACTACCAAAGTTTTCCAAAGTGGTTGTCCGGTTTACATTCCTTCTAGCAAGATTATGACAGTTTATGCTATTTCACATCCTCACCAGCATTTGGTATTTTGCACCTTCTTGATTTTAGCCATTCAAGTGGGGGTGTAGTAGTAGTGCCATGTCATTTTGCTGATGACTAATGAAGTTGGTATCCTCTTTTGTGAAGGACCTGTTCAAATCTTTTGCTTATTTTTCTACTAGGTTATCTGTGTTTTTCTTACTGATTTATAGACTGTCTTTATATATTGTAAATAGAAGTCCTTCATTGGAATACCTTCTCTGATTTTTGTGAGTTGCCTATTATTCTCTTAATGGAGTCTTTTACTGACCAGAAGTTGTTAATTTTAATGTTTTAATAGATTTATCCATTTTGTGAATTGTTAGTGCTTTTGTTCCCTTTAGAGAAATTTTTACATACTCCAAGGTCACAAAGATGTTTTCCTCTAAAAACCTTTTTGTCTTACCTTTTTCATTTAGATCTAGAGCTCATCTGGAATTGATTGTGTGTGTGTGTGCTGTGAGGTAGGGGTCAAGATACATTTTTTTTTCCCCATACGGATATTTGATTGACCCAGAACAATGTATTGAAAAGACCATCTCTTCCCCCACTGCACTGCAGTGTTGCCTTTGTCATAAATCAGGTGTCTGTATATATGTGGCTATTGCTGGACTTTTTATTCTGTTCCGTGACCAATTTGCCTGTCCTTGTGCCAATACTACACTGTCTTATTTACTGTAGCTTTCTAGAAAAATCTCGATATCTGGTAATGAACGTCCTCCAGCTTTGTCAGTCTTTAATATAGCTGTGTTACTTTTGGCCCTTTCCATTTGCTTACAAATTTTAAAATCAGCTTTTTAATTTCCACCAAAAAAAAAAAAAGCTTGGATTTTGACTGAGATTGCATATGTCTCCATTTATTTAGGTTGTACCATCTCTCAATAATGTTTTGTAGTTTTCAATATAAAGATCTTGCTTATCTTTCATTGGATTTATTTCTAGGTATTTGATGTTTATTAATGCTACTGTAAATTATATATATATATATATTTAGGATTTTTTATTTCTTGTTAGTTGCTGGTATTTCAAAATACAATTGATTTTTTTGTATATTAGCCTTACATCTAGTAACCTTGTTAAAATGATTTATTAATCCTAATAATTTCTAGATTCGTTTAGATTTTCTACATATGTAATCCTGTTATTTGTAAATAATGACTATTCTTTTTCTTCCTTTCCAATTGTTTTATTTATTCTATTGCCTTATTGCACTGGCTAGGACTTCTAATATTGAATAGAAATGGTGACAGTGGGCATCCTTGTCTTTTTCCCAACCTCAGAGGGGAAAGTATGAGTATGTTCTAGATATTCTTTATCAGATTAAACTCCTAGTTTAAGTGGAGTTTATTTGCTCATGAATGGGTGTTGAATTTCGTTGTTGAATGTTTCCCACTGAATATTTTAATTTAACAATTATATTGCCAAAAGTCAAATTTGTTTATTGTTTCTCCCTGAATCTCCTATGGTGCCTTATATCCTTGTATGCTGGTGATCTCTGTTCATCATAATCTGAAGAAAGTCTGGGGCCTAAGTCAAGGATGATTTAGAGAATCTATCAGGAGCTGGGGGTGCTGCTGATCCCCTTTTAGGTGTCCTGGCTTGATTTGGGTAGGCACAGGATGGGCTGCTCACCTTGCCAATGTCTCCCAGCCGTTGTGCTGAAGTCAGTATATGCCCTTGGGAACACTGCCCGTCACATAGGTACAGGAGTCACAGTCCAATTTCTACTCTTGTTGGGTTTTTCCTTCACTCTTTTTCCTTTTGTAGTCCTCTTGGACATATCTTCCTTTCTTCTTTCTTTCCTTTCCAGAATCCCTTACTTTCTCTGAACCTGGACCTGCTAAAATCAAGAATTACATCTTCTGCAGGATTTAGTTGAAGTGGGAGGGGGCCTCCTAGGGCATCTGGTTCACCTTACTCTGAGAGCTGGAGTCTCCCATTCACACCTCAGTTCACTGTTAAATGGGCTTCCACCCTAAGATATGTGTCTTCTGACACCAGCTGCAAGTGCAGTTCTTCCTCTGACCCTAACCACCCAGAGCTGGGTCAGCTCTTGGAAGTTCAAGGGCACAGTCCTCCAGAATGCTAAGTCTGCCCAAGACTGCAGACACCACCCACAAGCTCAGGGGTTCCTACTACTCTCCTGAGTTTGATAATTTACTAGAACAACTCACAGAACTCAGGAAAGCACATATACTTAAGATTATATTTTATCAGAAAGGATACAAGTCAAGACCAGCATATAGAACACACGCATAGGGTAAAGTCTGGGGTGGGGGCTGGGGGGTTGGGTCCCGAATGCAAAGCTTTCCATGTCCCAAAGGATGTGTTACTGTCCCATGCATGGATGCTTCTCACCAACCAGGAAGTTCACCTGAGTGTCGGTGTCCAGAGTTTTTAATGGGGATTTCATTACATAGGCATGATTGATTGAATCAGTGGCTACATGGTTGAACTCTTATCTCCAGCCCCTCCCCTCCCTGGAAGTCATGCTGATCTTTCTGGCATGACCATCCCCCATCCAACATAAATTACCTCATTTAGTATAACCTGTGTAGTGTGGTGTGGAGCCCTCCATGAATAATAAAGATGTAAAGCAATTCTTCACCCTAAGTGCCCCCATCATTCTGCTGAAGCAGTTCTTATCTCCATGACCTCCTGTGGCCAGATGCAATGGATACTTCTCCACCCTCATCTGCCAGACCCCAGCAGCATCAGCAAGGCTGACCCCCCTCCTTCCCAGAACAGGTTCTCTACCTGATTTCTGAGATTATCAGCTGCTGGTGCTTTCCCGCCCACTTCCAGGCTCCTTGTCACTCTCCTTTGCTGGATCTTCCTCTTTGCAGCCACTAAATGTTGGCACAACCTGGGCTTGGTTCTTGAACCTCTTCTCTAACTGCATCGCCACTGGGTGGCCTTATCCTGTCCCACGGCTGCCAGATTTGTGGCTCCAACCCTGACTTCTCCCTAAGCTGCAGCTTTGCAAATGCAGTTGCCTACATTACATCTCCTCACATAGGTACCTAGTAGGCAGCTCAGCGTCACACGTGCAGGATGGAGCTCTGGACTCTGTGCTTGGCCCAGGATTCTCCTCTGAGAAAACAGTGACAGAGTCAACCTGCCTGCTCCAGCCAAACCCCCAGATGCCATCCTTAATACCTCTCTGTCCTTCGCCCACCACATCCAGACCATCAGCAGCAAGCCCTGCTGTTTGTCCTCAAAATGCGTGGTTCTTGGGCTGGGACATCGGGTGGTCAGTGTCTGTGGTGTGTGCTCTGGGCTGCGTTCTGCTGCCATGCTCGGCGACCATGACCCTGGGAGGCACAGGTGGGGTGCTGAACTGGACCACTGCACGCCGGTGCTGTGACCACATCTGTTCTCTCCTCTCCCTGCCTCACTCGCCCGCCCTGTCTGCCTGCCGGGCTGTGTCTGTCTGTGCAACAACCTGCTCGCCTCTGCATGGCAGAAGTCCTCCAGCTCCGCGTCCTCCGAGGCCTCGGAAACCTGCCAGTCCGTTAGCGAGTGCAGCTCCCCCACCTCGGTCAGTGCCCCCTGCCCACAGCAGGAGGCAGCCCGGCCCCAGCCCATCACCAGCTGGTCTCTGCCCTCCTTCCCTGGTACCACCCACAGGGGTGGGTGCACCCAGCACTGTCTCCCACAGCCACCCCCCACACCACACCCACATCTTTCCCTCCAGGGATGCCTGCCCTGCCCCGGGCCTTGGGGACTGAGGGGTCACACAGCCCCCTCCCTGCTCTGCTCAGCCTTGCCTTGGCCACTGTTGTGAGCCTGAGTTACAGGGAGGGCCCTTGGCTGCAGGCAGTGTGGCCCTGACCCGCCCCCCACACCCGCAGGATTGGTCCAAGGCCGGCCCCCACGAGCAGCCTGCGGGCACCACCCTGCAGCGGAGGAAGGACCGAGTGGAGCTCCTCCGAGACGCAGAGCCAGGCCCCACCAGTGGGGGCACCCTGGGCCCCGGTGGGGAGGAGGCGCCGCGGCCCCGGATGTCCCCTGCCACCATCGCAGCCAAGGTAGGCAGCAGCGCCCCTGGCAACCCACACAGGCCCCAGCTTCACCCCAGGTAAATGCCAAGATGCCCGATAAGCGGTCTTCAGGGCCAGCTCTGACCACTTGTTGGGGCTGCCTGCAGTCTGGGATGAGGGTTGAAATGGGGGCGGCTTCAGGTTCTAGCCTGCGGTCTCACCCCTCCCCCAGCACGGTGAGGAGGTGTCCCCTGCAGCCAGCGACCTGGCCATGGTGCTGACCCGCGGCCTGAGCCTTGAGCACCAGAAGAGCAGTCGGGACTCGCTACAGTACTCAAGTGGCTACAGCACGCAGACCACCACGCCTTCCTGCTCAGAGGACACCATCCCCTCCCAAGGTGGGCTCTGGAGCCTAGGGACCTTGGGGGCTCCTTCACAGACCTTCAGCCCAGCCCCACCAGGGACAGCCAAGGCTCCACTTCGAGAGAGGGCCCAGTCCTTTCTGCTGCGGGTCGCCCGGGTTGGGGGGCAGGGCCAGGCTCGGTGGGGACCTGGGCACCCAGGCTCAACGCATCCCGTGCCCCCAGGCTCCGACTACGACTGCTACTCAGTGAACGGGGATGCAGACAGCGAGGGCCCACCCGAGTTCGACAAGTCGTCCACCATTCCCCGCAACAGCAACATCGCCCAAAACTACCGCCGCCTGATCCAGACCAAGCGCCCAGCCTCCACCGCAGGGCTGCCCACCACCTCGGGCACGGGTCTGCCCTCAGGCGCGCCCCCTGGCGTGGCCACCATCCGCCGCACACCCTCCACCAAGCCCACGGTGCGTCGCACCCTCTCCAGTGCCGGCCCCATCCCAATCCGACCACCCATTGTGCCCGTGAAGACGCCCACAGTGCCTGACTCACCTGGCTACACGGGGCCTGTGCGGGCAGGCAGCGAGGAGTGTGTCTTTTACACTGACGAGGCTGCCTCAACCCTGGCAGTGGACTTGGCCAAGGCCTCCCCAAAGAGGCTCAGCCTGCCCAACACGGCCTGGGGCAGCCCCTCCCCGGAGGCAGCTGGCTACGCGGGACCGGGGGCTGAGGACGACGAGGAGCAGCAGCAGCAGCAGCTGGCCGCCAACCGGCACAGCCTGGTGGAGAAGCTCGGGGAGTTAGTGGCAGGTGCCCATGCCCTGGGCGAGGGCCAGTTTCCCTTCCCCATGGCACTGTCGACCACCCCGGCAGAGGAGACGCCCACCCCGCCCCCCGCCGCCAACAGCGACCCCCCAGCTGAAGACATGCTGGTGGCCATCCGGCGCGGGGTCCGGCTCCGCAGGACCGTCACCAATGACAGGTCGGCGCCCCGCATCTTGTGAGGGCACCCTCCCCGACTCTGACCTCGGCTGAGGCAGGTGGCCTGGTCAGCTTGAAGCAGCTCGGAGGAAGACAGGAAGGAGCCACGTGGAGGGGGAAGCACAGCCAGGGAAGTTTCTTTTTTTTTTTTTTAAGTCACAGGCAAAGCCACTTTATGGAAACAGACACCCAGCTTAGATTTCAGCGTCAAAACAAGAAGTGACTTCTTTAATCTGCCTTGTAGGACACGCCTGCAGGCCTTGAACTGGTTTGGGAGCCTGTTTTTATACTTTTCTTGCTACTCTGTTCCCTCCTTTCCCTCCTGGCAGGCCCTGCCTTTCCCATGTCTCAGTGAGCCCCCGAGTGTACCCCACACCCACGGCAGAGGGCTCAGAGCAACCTCCATGCCATCCAGGCCTGGGGTCTGAAGTGCCACAGCTCAGCTGACCTGGCCCACTCTCCCCAGGTGGGCAGTGCCTCGGTCTCTGCCTTGAATGCCGACCCTTCCTGTTTTCCTCTCTTCTTTCTTCTCCCCTTTCTCTGCCTTTTCTAGGCTCCTCCATCTGGGAGGCAGACTGGCTGTGGAGAGGCCTGGGGCCCAATCAGCTAAGGTGTCTGATTGGACCAGAAAGTTCCACAGATTGCCTGGGGTTTTGGGGAGCAAGTTGAAGCCAGGAGGCTGGCTGGCTGTGGGGTAGGGGGCCTAGGGGCTCATATGGAGTGTAGGGAGGAAATGCAGGAGGGCTGCCTGGAGGCAGCTCGGGGGCAGAGGCAGCCTCCCCTCCCCTGTGAGGTGTGGCTGGAGGGCAGGATGATCAGAGAGCCCCTCAGAAACTAGGGAAAGCAGGGAGAGGATGAGAGGCCCAGAGATGTGGCCAGCCAGCGGGACTGTTCTTAGGCGTCCAGTTCTCATCTGGGCACATCATACTTTAACTCTGGTGGCACTTTGGGGTCACAGTTTCAGCTACCTTTGAGGTGGGGGCTGCAGCTGTACAGGGTTGTGTGCAGGGGGGTATTTTATGAACAAAAAATAAAGTGGCGCTTACTTTGGACGAGGATGGTGTGAGAAAAGCGACAGGGTGTGTCTATGAGTGTCCAAGGGGCAGGGGCCGCACAGCAGCCTGGGGGGCCGCACAGCAGGAGGAGGGAGGAACGCAGAAGCTGGGAAGCAGCTGTTATTCCCTCCAGAGTCTGGAGTGTAGCCAAAATATGGTCCAAGAGGGCCAAGGGCAGGGTGTCCAGGGCTGTCTGCTGTGGTTGAGCCAAGGGGCTATAGGCCGAGGGTCTGGCCCAGGCGGATCATGTCCAGGGAGGTTGGCTTTGACTCTCTGTTGTCAGAGGAGATGCCATCCTTGGACAGTGCCCACCGAAGTCCCGGTCCTGTGCTGGCAGCAGGGGTCGGGGGCCGGGGGTGAGGCTCCACCTCCAGCACAGCTCCCAAGTCTAAGCAGGTCAGAGCACGTGAGACTAGGGTGAGCAGAGGGGTTCCTAGTGGTCTCAAAAACTTGGGCCACAGGGCAGGGGCCTCCCCAGGGTCAGGAGAGCAGGCTTTTCCTGGTCTCCATGGAACGGAGCTGGTCTGAGGCTCCCGGCACCAGGCTTGAGCTCCTGGTAGTTCGTGGGCTGTGAGCTGAAGGAGGGCTGGGATCCGGGCAGCCAAGGAAGCCCCTGGGTGGACCAAGCCCCCGGCTCACCGAGGGCTGGGAAGCAGGTACTGTTAAGTATAGGTAAAGAGGGCAGCCCCACTGGGGTTTGCCCAGGTGGGCTGACGGCTTGAGGTGCAGGGTATGTGAGAAGGGGTGGTGGGGAGCATACTGGAGCCTTGCCCACTCCCCGTGGTGTGTGACAGGTCTGAGGGTCTCATGAGGAAGCACTGCCTCCCCTTCAGGGAGTGGGCACTGCCCACCCCTCTGCCCTGGCTCCACAGGGCTAGGGGAGCCCTAGGCTTCGGAGCCTTCCAGGGAAGGGGCAGGTATGCGGGCCCCCCCTACTCCCCCTCCAAGCCACCTGGGGCTGTACATACTCCGCCCCCCGTGACTCACCCACCACCCTCTCCTCAACTTAGCGACCACCTCATAGGCCCACCCCGTCAGAATCCGAGCCAACCATCCACACCATAGACTTTGGTTTGAGGGGACTTCTTTTTGTTCCTTTTATTTTTCATTTTGTACAGAGAAATATTCTTTTCAAACGCGTCTTTTGACTGAAGTAACTTTTCTGGTGCTGTTGTTAACTTGTTCCTTTTCTTAATTTATTTTCCCACCCCAGGCCTCCCCTCCTGGTCCCTACTCACCTTTTCTTCCCCCCTACCATCCCATCTGAACCATTTTGTGTCTTTTCTTTCTGTTGGTTTTTGGATAAATTATCCTTTCCTCCCCCACCCCCATCCTCCCCTCGATTTAAATAGTCACTGCTACAAGTAACAAATGCACTGTGAAGATTCCAGTATTAATAAAGTTGTACTGTAATTAACACCCCTGCCTCTGCCTGGCTCTGCTCAGCCGCTGCTCACCTGTCGCTCCCCCTCTCCTCTGCACCCCAGGGACTGCCTGGCCCCAGCCCTTTCCCATCCCAGAGCCTGGCCAAAGGGGCACCAGGGAATCTGCAGGGGTGGGAGGGACCAGGCATTGTGCCAGGACCTAGGCCTTTGGAATGCCACTGCTCCATCCCTGCCAGGAGAATCCCGACATCCCCGATGCCATCCATCCCTGTGAAGAAGGCAGGCTGGGGCGGGGCTTCAAGGAACTCAAGCCCTAAATACCTGCCCTTCCACGCTTCCTGGCCAAGGCTCTGTCCATTCCAAATCCTCAAACCCAGACCCCCAAGGGCCGAGAGTCTGGGCAGGACCAGCCCCAGCCCCCTCCACTCACCTCCTGCCCTTGGCCAGCTGGGCCACCCAGTGAGGGTAGGAGAGAGGCCACGGAGGGTCTCCCAGCCCTCCCCAGGCTTACCCTCACAGATGCAAAGCACACCAAGTCAAACCAAACCGAAACGAAGCGGATGTTTAATAGAAAAAGAACTGGAAGAGGGTCCACTGTGGCAAGATGTGGCATTTGGCTCTGCCCTCTCCCCAGCACCCCCGCTCAGGAGGGGCTGGTTGCGGAGTACCTGCATTGTTCCCTGTCCCTACCTGCCCACTGGGCACAACTGTTCCCTCTGCAGGCGACGGAAGACATTCAGCACCTTCAGGAGTCCCTGGGTGGTGCAAACAGTTAACACGCTCGGCTGCTAACCAAAAGTTGAAGGTTTGAGTCCACCCAGAGGCGCCTTGGAAGGCCTGGTGATCTACTTTCGAAAAACAGCCATCAAAAACCCTGTGAGGTGCAGTTCTGCACTGACACACATGGGGGCGCCATGAGTCAGAATGGTCTCCAGAGCAACTGGCTTTTTCAGGCCCGGTGGGGGAGGCACTAAGTGTGCTGCCAGGAGGCGCTGTGAGCTGTCCTTGTCCACCTTGAGGTCCCCCCCGAGCCTCCCAGTGAGACTATGATGGGTGCAAAGATGGAAGCTGAGCCTTTCTCTGAATCCCCTCAAAGAAAAAAAGCCTTCCCAGATTTCCTCTCCCAAGGCAGGCTGCCCCGGCAGTGTCTCAGTCCGGACTTGTGTGTGCATGGAGGACCCCTCACTACCCCCCCACGGTCACCACACAGGTCGTCAGGGCAGGAGGCCTTCATCCTGCGCCCTCACCTGCTCCACTGCGCCCGGGAAGCCCGGCAGGGAGGTGGGGGGTTGCTGGGGCGGAGGGTACAGCCGAGCGGCTGCACACTGTGACGGGGGCTGTAGACCACGGGGCTGAGGGCTTGGCACCTCACAGTCCTGCCAGATTTGGAGGGAGCTTTGCTTACCTGCAGGAAGCAGGAAAAAAAAAAGAATGCAAGGGTAGTCAAGCACTTTCCCTGGGGAATGCACACCCCTCCCCACCACCAAGACCAAGTCACACTGCTCATCCCTCTACCCAGGGCCCATCTCAGCTTCCAGAAATGGTCTGCAGCCCTGGGGAACAGAGGAAATTCCAGGAGGTGCTGGCTCTGCTGCTGGCTTGGACTCAGACGCCTATCCTGCCCCCCACGCCCATCCACTCAGAGCTCCTTACAGCAAGAGCAGTACAGCAGGTTCATGACCCGGAAGCAGTTGTCCAGCAGGGCTTTGGGCCGCACCAGCTTCAGCCCCGGGGCACTCAGGAGGGACAGCACTGCCTCCACCTCAGGGCTGGCCTCCACATCCTGGAAAGGAGGACACCGTCAGGACCATGGGTGCCACCACCAGCCAGGGGAGAGGCAGGGCCACGTCACAGGAGAACCACGGAAGCTGGTCCAGCCAGGAGTTGCCGCGAATCATGGAAGGACAAGATTTCCCATGGCCAGAGGCAGAGCAGGGCCTGTGGGCCAACATCTCACCTTCTTTCTACAGGCACCAAGTTTTCTTGAAGCATCCTAGTAGATGCCACTCACCCAAGCACAATGCAAAGGCTTCTCTTTTTCCATCTTTTGACAAATGACTGCCGGGCCTGGGCCAGGATGGCAGAAAGTTGGAGGCCTCCTTTCTGTTTTAGCTCAAGCATGGCCACAAGCCACAAGAGGAGCCCCCTGACTCTGGAGGCAACTGGCCTTTAGGCGGCAAAGCCCTCCGTTCACTCCCAGGAACAGGGGAAAGGATCTTAGCATAAGGGCACTGAGGCACCAGGTCCCGCAGGCAGAGCCAGGCTCCGACTCCAAGCTCAGGGGGCTTCTCTTCACACAGTTAATGGGAGGAGCTCCTGGCCCAAATGGTGGGGGCAGAGCTACCATACAAGGCATTGTGGAGAACGTGGGGAATGTGGGGCCTCAGCTGGAAGGCAGGCGTTTATACAGAGAGGTTCATCCTGAAGGAGGCAACAACCTAGCAAAGGCTGAGAAATGCCCTGGAGGGCGCCTTAAAGTAACTTCTTTAAACCACCTCTCCAGGACGGCCTGCAGGCCTTGAACTGGTTTGGGAACTTGTTTTATACTTTTCTTGCTAGTCAGTTCCCTCCTCTCACTCTTGGCAGGCCCCACCTTTCCCACCTTGAACCTTGCCCTGGCCCATGGCAAGGGCCTGAGCTCCCATCCCGGCCTGGGGTTCCGCCTGGCCTGGGGTCCACAGTGCTACAGTTCAGCTGACATGGCCTGCTCTCCCTAGGTGGGAGGTACCTCAGGTTCTTCTTTGAATGCCAATTCCTCCTCCTGTCCCCTGACTGAGCCCCCTTCTCCCCTCTCTCTGCCTCTCCTGAGCTTCTCCATCTGGGAATCAGATTGGCTGTGGAGGGGCCTGGGGACCAACTGGCTAAGGTGTCTGACTGGACCAGAAAGTTCCACAGATTGGCCGGGGTTTAGGGGAGCAGATTGAAGTTGGGAGGCCGGGCAGCCCTTGGGGCCCAAATGGAGTCTGGGGAGGAAATGCAGGAGGGCTGCCTGAAGGCGGCTTAAGAGACCCTAAAGCAGCCTCCCCTTCCCTGTGAGGTATGGCTGGAGGACGGGGGGTGGGGGTGGTGGACAGAGCAGCCCCTCAGAAACTAGGGAAAGCAGGAAGAGGATGAGGGGCCCAGAGGCCCTGGGGGTCATGTAGCCAGCTAGCTGGAGCTGTTCTCCCACTTTAACTCTGGTGAATGAGGATAGTGAGTGGGAAAAGCAGCCCCTCCTCCTTAGGCCAGTCCCAGAGAACCCAAGTGCCCAGCAGATGTGTCCCTTCCCCCCAACGAGGGGCCCCAGTGCCATCCAGAGATCCTCAAAGTCAAGGACAGCTGGGCTGTAGACTCTCTTTCAAAAGCCTCTGACAGGAAAACACTTTGGCAGTTCCTCAAAAAGTTAAACATAGAATTACCATTAAAAAAAAGCCATAACCTGTCCCGGCAAGTTGTTACCAACTCAGGGCAACCCGATGTGTACAGAGTAGAACTGCTTCATAGGGTTTTCTTGGCTGTAATCTTTACAGAAGCAGATTGCCAGGCCTTTCTTTCACAGTGTTGCTGGGTGGGTGTGAACCGCCAACCTTTAGGTTAGTAGTCTAGCGCCAACCGTTTGTGCCACTCAGGGACCAGAATTATCACATGACCTAGCAATTCCACTCTTAGATATATACCCAGGAGAACTGAAAGCAGAAACTTGTCCACCAATGTTCACTGCAGCACTATTCACAACAGCCAAAAGGTAGAAGCAACCCAAGTGTCCATCAATACACAAATAGATAAAGTGTAGTATATCCATACATTAAAAAAAAAAAAAAAGAACACAGAATCACCATAAGAAAAAAACCAAACCTGTAGAGTCGATTCCAACTCATGGCGACCCCATGTGTTTCAGAGTAGAGCTGTACTGCATAAGGTTTTCAATAGCTATGATTTTTTTGGAAGTAGATACAGGTTGTGATACATGCTACCACATGGATGAACCTTAAAAATATGCTGATGCTGAGTCAAACAAGCCAGACACAAAAGGACAAATATTGTGTGATCTCATTTATATGAAATACCTAGAATAAGCAAAAGCATAGAGACAGAAAGTAGATTAGAGGTTACCCGGGGCTGGCGGGAGGAGGAATGGGGACTTACTGCTTAATGTGTACAGAGTTTCTGCTTGGGGTGATGAAAAACTTTTGGAAATAGGTGATGGGTGATGGTTGCACAACATGGTGAATGTAATTAATGCCCCTGAATTGTACACTTAAAATATGATTAAAATGGCAAATTTTGTTATATATAATTTACCACAATTACATAAAAAAAAAGAAGCCTGTGACAAACAGCTCCACCCACCAGGCAATGGGGTGGGGGCAGGGAGGGGGGAGGGGTGCTGGCTTGCTTCAGAGTCAGAGGTCTAACTCACTCACCCCAAATCCTCCTCTCCAACACTGCCCCCAGCATCTCCAGGACCTTTTGTTTTGTTCTGAAGAAATTTCAATGAAAGCAAGAAAACATGCGGAGCAAGAGCTATGCAGATGGCTCTGGTCCCAGCAGCAGTGTTGCCTTGTCCAAGTAGACAGGGAGGTAGGACGATGTCATTGACTCAGAATTTTAGAGCTGGGTGCAATTTCAGGCCTCAACCAACTCCTTCTCTTTACAAGTGATGAGTCTGAAGCCCAGACGTGAAATGTTCAAGGTCACATGACTTGGAAGCAGGGCTGCAGCCAGGCCCCGGATCCCACTCCCTGGCCAAAGCTCCTCTACTACATCACACCACCACTGGGAGACTTTGAAAGGAAAAGGGAAGACTTAAAGGTGATTTTCCCACAAACTAAATCAATTCTAAAAGCTAGGCGTATTTGGAGAGGGTCACAGACTACTCACATCATTAGAGAGAAGAAATTTAAAAGCTGGTTAAATATGAATAATCAAAAATATCCACAGGCATAATGTTTTAAAAAAGAGGACTTAGGGTCTCAACACGCACGTCCCAGGCCCAAACGGGTAGGGCGAGGCCCTCATAGTCCTCCTCTCCAACCCCCAACCCAGCTCGGGAGAACCTCACAGAGGCAGAAGCCAGGTCAGCTCCATCACCCACCTGTCCCACTGGACCAAAAGAGCTACCAAGGAAATCGTGGGGTTTGCTGACCTCTGCCAGGAACTGAGAGGCCTTCCCACTGCTCTGGTCCAGGAAAGTTCTAGACAGCTGCAAAAACAGTTGCTCATCCCTAAGCCCTTTTATAATCAGAGCTCACAGTTGGTGTTTGAGGTTCTGGCGCCTGAGCCTCTTCCGCAGAGGAGGCCAGGCAGCGGCCTGGGCAGGGGCAGCAGGTTGGTATCCCAGGACAAGTATGTACAGGGTCTGGAAAAGGGTTGGTGATGGTGAGCAGCTGGGGGTGGAGAGGGGTCCCACAGCACACACATGGCATGTATGGGCATACACTAATCCTGTCAACTGACTTTTGGGTAAATGACCTGGGATTTTTAGGGGATATAGATCCCCAAGAGTCCCTGGGTGGCACAAATGCTTAACATGGTCAGCTACTAACTGAAAGGTTAGAGGTTGGAGGCACCTCAGGAGAAAGGCCTGGTGGATCTACTTCCAAAAAATCAGCCACTGAAAATCCCATGAAGCATAGCTCTACTCTGACACACACGAGGTCGCCATGAGTCAGAATCGACTCAACGGCAACTGGTTTTCTATCCCCGAGGCCGCTGAACAGGCAGGTATCCAGAACCTCACCTTTTAGATGTGGAGACAACGTCAAAGAGGTTCCATGACTTGCCAAGGACCACAGAGGGTGAGACATAGCTGGGTCTCACAAGTATCTCCTGCCCCAGGCTAGCCCACCTCCAAATTATGTCTGGCCTCCTTTTCCTTCCAGGGGCTCCTTTTCCCATACCCCTCCCCCATTTTTCCCATACCCTTCAGGACATGCTGGAACCTCACCACCCTCACTACCCCTTGGCCACACATCTCCAACACACACACACAGGCACACACACATTCACACACGCACATATGCACATACACGCCTGCCTGCCCCCACACATCTGCCTGACCCACACCTTTGCACGGCTCACCATAAGGCCTTGCTGGACAGTGACCAGCAGCGTCTCGACCTCATCCAGGTACTTCCAGGATGGGTGGTCTTTGAGCAGCACGTCCTGCACCAACTCGATGGCATTGAGACTCACCAAGACCCACAGGTACCGCAGCTCCTGCTCACTCACCCGGGCCCTCTGCTGTGGGGAAAGGAGAAATCATGGAAACCCCCAGGCAGGGGCCTCTATGCTCTGATGCACCCGATCTGAGCCCCCAGGACATGCCCCTGCCCCGGGAGCCAACCCCAGGGCTGCAACCGCACTGGAAGGGCCTGTCCACTGTGGACGGAAAGGAAACCTGGGCCTGGGCCAAGGGGCAGGGTGAGGCCCCTGGCAACATGATGTGTGTCAAGACCAATGTGCCTTGGTGACACGCCCATGTCCAGGGGTTTCCCCAGACCAGAAGGGATCCTCACCAGCCTGGTGATGTTGGCGACTCGGAGCACCCCCTCGTAAGGCACGCTGATCCTGTAGTTGATGGGGAAGTTGTATTTCTGGGGAGGTAGAAGGACACAATGTGAGGTGAGAGGCCGAAGCGGCTGAGACAGGCTCCTCCAACCTCCCAGACAAACTCTTACACAGGAGAAGAGACCCCTAGGACCACCAGCCCTTCAGTGGTGGAGATTATAAACTTGGCTCCCAACTGGGATGAAGACAGCTCTTTGCTCTGGGACACAGGGAAGGCCGGAACAAAATACTCAGTTCTTGCTAAGGCTGAAGCTTCAGGCCAGGTGGTAAGAAGGTACAACTTCAAGAAAGACTTACTTTTTGGGGGGGATGGTGACAATGTTCTTAAAATTGATGGTGGTGATGGTTGCACATATCTGTGAATATACTAAAAACCACTGTACTGTACACTTTAAATGAGTGAATTATATACTATGTGAATTCTATCTCAGTAAAGCTTTTTTTTTTTAAAGGAACCACTGAATTGTACAATTAAAAATTGTTAAAATGGTTAAAAAAAAATGCAGGGGATGGGGGACTTACAGAGCCAGGTGGGCTTCTCCACTCTACAAAGGGAGCTGAACATTCCAATTTCTAGGCCCTTATCTCCCCTGCTAATAATAAGTGCCTGGGGTTCCCCAAACATTTCCTGGAGTCCATTCCTGAGTCAGAGTGAGTGCCACGTGGAGGTGGGATCAAAGGTCAGAGCAGGTAGGAGATGTGGAGGCCTCGAAGATGGCAGGAGAGGGGCATTAAGTGCAGACGGGGCGCGCGTACCAACCAGGTATGTGTACTGAAGGCAGAGAAAGGGCTATGGTAAGGTCAGAGCTAACACAGGTCCAAGGGGGGACCTGAGTGTTCTGGACACGATGCCAAGTGAGCCGTGGGACTGGGGAACAGGGACACAGCCGGCACTCAGGTGGTTACCATGTACTGCAGCCGGTTCTTGTACTGCAGCTTGTCCCGCAGGTAGCCCGTGAAGGTGCACTCCTCACCCTGGGTCAACGGCCACACCTCCAAGCCCTCGTTCCCCAAGGCCATGCCAAGGAGGATGCCGATATCTGTGGAGCACACCCAACAAGAGCAGGTAAGCAACGCCATTCACACTGCCCCTCGCGTACAGAGCACACACAACAGTCATACCTTCCTCGGGTTACAAGCACTCATGGGAGAGGTAGCAGGGGGCGGGGGGGCGCAGACAGAGCCCCAAGGAGCCCTTTCCACCAGGAGTGCTTTCCCAGGGTTCTGGCTCCAGGACCAGCAAGGTGGGCAAGCATGAGCAGTTCTGGATGTCTACCAGAGTCCCCCAGGAGGCATACCCTAGGGTGGCTCTCCAGGGTCCTTCTCACTTCTGCCCCTGAGGTAGGCACAGCACCCCTACTCCTATCCCCTGGGCAAGCACAGCGCCCCCATTCCTGTACCCGGGGTGGGCACCCCCCCCCAACTCCTGTCCCCTGGGTGGGCACGGCCTCCCTTACTCCTGTCCCTGGGGTGGGCACGGCCTACATCAGCCCTGCATCCAGGGAGTGACATGTTTTTAAAACCTGTTGCTGGATTTTCCATCCGGGGATTCGGGAGACGCGGATTCTAGTTCCAACTCTACAAACGACTCTTTGTTGACCCAAGCCATTTTCTTCCCTGCTCTACCTGACTTTTGGCATCCCTGTCAGTCAACCATATCAGAGGATTTGTAACGGCCCTTCCAGTTGGCTCATTCTGGGTTGCTAAGGGGATCTCATACAGGCTGTTTCCCTCTCCCTGCCCCGTCCTGAACCATTACTAGCGTTTACCACTGGGAGTCGCTGTGACTCCAAAAACAGCCTTTGTGATTTCCATGGGACCCGAGGGAATTGGAAAGACCAAAAAATATAAGAGAATTTGCAACAAATATGGGGCAAGGGCTAAGCTGATAAAGGGTAAAAAGAACTAAATATAAACGGGCAAGAGACATACCCAAAAAATCAGCCTCACTAGTAAAGACAGATAAAGGAATTAAAATTAAATCAGACGTCATTTTCCATCTATCAAAATGGACAATGTTTTGTTTGATTTCATTTTAATAATACTTGATGCTGGCAGCATTGTAGGCAGGTGCTCTCATCCTGGAAAGCAACTTGGCAATTTTTGCTATTAATGGACTTAATAATGTCCACACCCTTTGACTCACTAAGCCTTAAAAATGTCTACACCCTTTAGCCCACTAAACTTACTTCTAGCAACAAATCTTAAGAAGAAAGCAAGAGAGAAAAAGAGAGACAGACATAGTCAAAAGACCTGTGGACAAAGACTTACACTGCAGCATTATTTTATAATAGGGAAAACCTGTCAACGACCTAGATGCTCAATAATCAAAAATGTGGCCAATAAAAACCACATTGTTAAAGAATGCTTACGGCAGGCTTATGTGAAGGGGAAAAAACTTCTGATATGCTTAGGGAAGTTTTAAAAAAAAAAAAAGCATGATTCAATACCCTGTATCTGCATACATGGCTTGAATTCTGTTAAATATATACATGTGTGCATAGGAAATGTGGTGGAAAGAAATGCCCTACATCTCTGGAGAGGTTTATATTCTTTACAGGATGTATTTATGTTCTACAATCAATATTTATTATTGTTATAGCCCAAAATAATAATTATTCTTTTTTATACAAAAATAGAACAATAACGCATAACACTGTGAATGTAGTAAATGCCAATGAATTGCACACTTTAAAGTGGTTAATTTTATGTTATGTGAATTTCGCTTCAATTAAAAAAAAAAAAATAGAACAGTTGGGAGCTCCCAGAAGGAGCTAGGCAGGCTGAGTCATTGCCCTGGCCCACCCCTGTCTTTGTTAGTGGGAACTACTGACTGGGCTTTTCCCATTCACTTCCCTGGCACTTCTCCTAGCCTGGGCCACACTATCTGTCCACTGTCACTTCCCCCACCTCCTTCTCTGGACATGCCCTGTTCAGTCCTCCCCCTCCCGCCACGCCTTTTCTCCTGCTGGGCCCCTTACCAGGAATGCCCTCACCTAATTCAAATCCCCAGATCTACTTGAGCCCTGTGCCCATGTGGGCTCCAGCAGGCCAGCCCATCCCCTTCACGGAATCCTGACAATCACACTTTTTGCAAAGTTGCAAGTTTGCAAGATTCTGGAGGGTAGGACCATGTCTCCCACCTCGTTCCCCTCTTCCCCCCATGTGCCCGACACAGTATCGGGACAAAGGAACAGATAAATGCAAAGAGAACCCGCGTTTGTCCCTTCCACTTCTGCTTGCATCTTCACTCCAAGTCATAAATCCTTTGAGTTTGACATCCCTGCAGGTCAAGATTATTCTTGCCTCTGGGTTTTTCGTGAAGCTTTGCCCTTGCCCTGGGCATCCGCTCACGCAGCCGACCTCTTTAGAGCCCTTGCCTGAGACTCCTTTCCTCCCCAGGGTCTCCCCTGCCCTCATAGCCTGCACCCATCTCTGTCTCCAGCATCATCTGTTGACCTGCATCCAAAGCTCCTGGAGAGCCAGTGCAGGCACAAATAGCCACACCCCACCCCAAGGTGTCTGATTCAGAGGTCTGGAGTCTGGGGCCCAAGAATTTGCATTTCTAGTAAGTTCCCAGGTGAAGTTGGTGCTGCTGGTCTGGGGACCACACTTTGAGCACCATTGACCTAGAGTGACAGTCACAAACTAGAATCCCAAGAGCCACATCTGGTCCACGGAAATACCACACAGAAATCCCAATTTCCATCTTTTCTTTAAATATTAGTGGCTCTGCCCACCCTGGGTCTTCAACAAACAGCCCAAAGCACCCATTGCTGCCCACTCCACCTCCACATGCTACCCCAGCTGCCCTCGTCTGTGTCTCCAGCCTGGGGCCTCCAGGGTGGGGCCTTGTGGCCAGGGACTGCATCTTAGCAGGCCACACCTCCCAGCCCGGCCCAGGTGGGCACACGGCTGCCTCAGAAGCCCTCGAACACAGACAATCAGCCTTCCTCAAACTGGGCAGCCTTTCTCCAAGTCAGCAATCCTAGTACCATTTCTAACTTTAAGATTCCTTTCCACTGCCTCTACCCAGAGAAACAGGCCAGCAAACAAGTGATCAGGTAGCGGCAGCATGGCCACGGCCTCAGAGCCACTCCTCACCCCCCTGACTCTGCTCCTGGGGGACCCCCACGGCCAGTGAGACCCCTGACCCCAGACAGGAGGCTTGCATCACCCCCCTCTCCCTCCAGAGGTAAGAGACCCACAAAGGCTGAACAAGAGGCTGAAGAAAGATCAAGGCAGATAAGGAGCTCCCTTCCCAGTTCAGGGGCAGGGGAGGGGGAGAGGGCAGGGTGGCGCACCCGAATATGGCTCGTCCACTGCCCCCACCACTGCAGAGGCCAGATCTAAGCCAGCCCTTTCCCAGACCCTCTGCCAGCCCCTGCCCATGATCTGTGACTCCTTCTTCTCCCTCATCCCCCTCCCCAAACTTTTCCACCTCCGGAACTGACCCTCACTACCTCCTGCCCACACCTTTGAAATAGCAACTCCTACAAGCACCACCGGCTTTATCTTCCAGAAGCACAATAACTTCCAATTACATCCCCACCCCTATCTCAAGAACCTTCCAGGGCTCCCTATTACATAGTGAATTATGTACATACTCCTCACCCTGGTACTCAAGGCCTTGGCAGGCTGAGCCCAAACTAGCTCTCCAGCCAGGCCTCCCTCTGTCCCACCACTGGGCCTTTGCTCACGCTGTTCCCTCTACCTGGAACAGTGCCCTCACCACCCTACATCTGTCTACCTATGTAAACACCACCCCACCTTCAAGACCATTTCAGGTGGCGCCTCTCCCATGCTGCCACACTCCCGCCGCCATGACCTTGAAGCCTCCAGAACACGGGGTCTGGGTCCTTCTGGCCATTCTGAATGCCCTGACCTTTTGCCATATCCCCACCAGGGCCAGAATGAAACCACTCCTCTCTGAATCCCCCACAGAATCAAACCCAGGACCTCATTCATTCTCCAGAGCACCTAACTGTGCTAGGCATGGGGGCCAGAGGAACAAGACAGACAAGGTCCTTGTTGTCATGGCAGTGACTTTCCAGGGGGCATGTGGGAGGCGCCAGAAAAATGTGTTGAATTTGAGTCAATTACATTGAATCTTGGAGTCTGAAGGGATCTTTGTCTGGCCTCCCACCCAGCAGGCCTGAGAAGCTTCCAGATCCCTTTTTTAAAATTCTCATTTCAAGTTATTTCTCTTGTTACCAACAACACTTATCTTTCTGCTTTAAATTTTGCTCCATTATAGCAAGGAGGGGACAGAGCAGACCTGGCTACACCTCTCCCACACGTCCTGGGGCCCTGACATTCTCACAAGGCCCTCTCCCTGGCTGGCCACGTCCAAGGAAGCAGGAAATCCTCTCTCTGCCCACCTTTGCTCCCACAATCCTTACAGTGCCAACAAGTCTGAGAACGTGAGATGCTGCCGCCTACCCCCAGTGCCTGCCCCAGCCCCATGACCACCCTGATGGCTGTGCCCACCTAGCCTAAGACCCACCCACCCAGCATGCCTGTCTGGGAGCCTGAGGTCAGCTGGAGACAGGGCAGGGGCAGGCGTCCCAGAGGAGAGCTGCAGTTAAGCTGGGAAGCATCTCAACTTCTCAACAGCAAGAATGCCCCAGTTGCCATGGTGATGGCAGAGCCCAGCTGTGGGCCAAGGCCTCCCGGGGCTGGTCCTCATGGACACCCAGTACTCACAGTTCAGCCAAGCGTGTCCCCGGGGCATGATGGTGCACTGGGTCCCGTAGAGAGCAGAGGCAGCTGATGCCGATGCTGCGTCCACAGAGGCCCAAGTCAGGGCTACATGGCCTCAGGTCAGCAAAGGTGGCCACAAAGGAGGAGGTGGGCTTCTGGGCAGGTGCTTCTTGGGGCAGCACCCCACCCTTATCTGCTGTGCAGTGAGGGGGGCAGCCAGGGGGCAGTGGCTGCCAGTCCCATCGCAGCCCAGGAATAGGTCTGAGACAAGCAGCCTTGGGGTCTTCCTTCCCGAGGAGGAGCAGAGACCCTGGCAGGCCCCTTGGAATCTGGGGCTGGATTGCGATTTCTCCTCTGCAGCTGCTCAGTGTGAAATCTGGCTCTGGGGAGAGAAAGGAGGAGAGAAACCGATTATGTAACAACAGAGCTGCCACTCAGCCATCTCAGCTCGCAGGGAAAACCTGCTGTGCACTCGGCACCCACTGCCTGCCCGGGCCCATGTGGGAAAGGCCAAGTGCTGGCCCACCCTGGCAGCCTGGCTACTGAAGTCACAAGCGAGAGGTGACTTCAGAACAGCCAGACGGCAGCACCAGCCCAGAAGTGAGTTATGATGACACCAGATGGGACAGAACAAAAGGAGGGTCCAAAAATGAATGAGCTGTACAGGTTAAATCAAGAGAAGCTTCTTCTTTTTCTTTTTTTAATTGTTGTAGTTAAGTAAAAGTTTACAATTCAAGTTAAGTCTCTCATACAAAAATTTATACATACATTGTTATTGTTATGTGACCCTAATTGCTCTCCCTATACTGTGACAGCACACTCCTCCTTTCCACTCCTGATTTCCCATGTCCATTCAACCAGCTCCTGACCCTCTCTGCCTTCTCATATCACCTTCGGAAGGAAGCTGCCCATTTAGTCTCATGTATCTACTTGAGCTAAGAAGCACACTCTTCACGAGTATCATTTTATGTCCCATAGTCCAGTCTAATCTTTGT